GGGGGACTTTCCCATCCGTTTGATATAAATACACGAATTTACAGCCTATATGATGACTTCGTCGAAAAGTAAATTTTCTTCGCTGCAACTGTCTTCTGACTATTCCCTATGATCAAATGTGTATATTCCGTGATTTTCTCAGGTTTCTGATCTGAATACAAAGCTTTGGGTCCACAATTACCCTTTTCTGCTGTGAATCTGTGCCACTCTATTCCCTACTTGAATACTTGGGGGGTGACATAACTGCAGCAGCTGATTCCCTTTCCAGAGGTGGCATAAACCAGCTCCAAACTCTAGTAGACATCAACCTTGACAGTCCGGCAATGTTCCAAAGAAGCGACGCCAAACTCCCAACCTGTCGTGAAAAATCCTCTTTACAGTTCAGGGATATGCCTTTTCCTTTATCGGGCGCAACTATATTCTGCAATGTATCTACTGGCGCTAATCGGCCTTTCGTTCCAACCATTTGTCGCGAAACCCTGTTCGATCGTTTGTACTGGTTGTCTCACTGCTGGGTGCCGTCTACTGTTAAATTCATCAGCGAGCGTTTGGTTTTTCTAAGAATGAATCCTGATAATAGGAGATGGTTGCGCGAGTATTTAAAATGGTCAAGCTCAAAAGTCCACAGACACACACCATTGACACAGCCACTCGGTGGGCTATCGCCCACCCACTTAAGGACATATCGGTCAAAAACTTCGCCTTAGTTTTGCTTGATCTCTGGGCTTCGAATTATGGTGTACCATTAGGTTATTATACACAAAGTTTAAGTATAAATGTCATAACAATTAATCACAACAATACTTCTGATAGTATTTCTCCATCTTCTAACGAACAGCGTACGATGGAATGATGACTGCATTATCAGTGACTCCCACCAAAATATGGAGTTGGTTTTGAGTAAACAACCATGAATTGATCGTTCATTCTTCAACTGTATTGACAGGCGCTCAGTTCCAGCCGACACTAATTAGCCAGTTGACCCGACTTCTTGGATACATCTCCACGACTGCATACCACCCGTCAGAGAATGATGTTGTGGAAAGATTTCGCAGGCAACTGAGAACTCTCTAACGACAGAGGATGATACAACTAACTAGTCTGAACGTCTACCGTAGATCCTGCTCACTATTCGTCAACCATCAAGGAGGACCTCGGATGTACACCGGCTCAACTTGTATACGTCACTACCCTAAATTCCCTTGGACAATTAGTCCCTTCACATTACTAGACAGAGGTGAATGTCTTCGAGTTCACTAAGCAGATGATCATACGGATGCCGCAGCTTCAGTCAATCATCCAAGACGGTCCTTTCGCAGAAAACATGTTGGTAGACATTTGCAAACGTACATGATCACCTTTATGCGAATCGATGGTGTCAGAAAAGGGTTACAGTAGCCATATGAAGAGCCCCTTCAAGCACCTCACCATGTGTAGATATATTTCATGGTAAACAGATATGGCGAAACAGTAAATATTTTGGCTGACCAGCATACACCAGTGGTGACTGCACCTCAACAGCTGCGCTGACAGATAACCAACAATTCAGCACGTCTCCGACTGAACAGGTTCCTATCCTTTCCCCTTTCCAGTCGTACAGTGGTTGGCAGATCAGTAAACCTGCCCGCTGTGTTCATGTCTGATTTCCCACAAACTGGAAGACATGCAAGTGGAAAGCAACAAGTTAGCAGAAGAAGCATCCAAGATAGGACTTCAGGTGAACACAGAGAAAACAGAGGCAACACCAACAGCAGCAACAACAACTGACAACAATCAGCATAAATGGGAGGAACCTGAAAGAAACAACCTCCTTTACCCTCCTGGGAAGCATCGTTTCAATTACAGGCGGACGGAACTGACGAGGATATCAAAGCAAGAATCGGAAAAGCAATACAAGCTTTCACTACTCTCAAGTCTGTGTGGAGGTCAACAACTCTCAGCATCAAAAATAAGATCCGGATTTTCAACTCCAATGTGAAGTCAGTGCTACTATACGGATCAGAGATTGGCCAGCGCGTCATAAAGAGCATCTCAAACAAACTACAGACCTTCATTAACAGTTGTCTTCGCTCAATACTCAAGATCAGATGGCCAGAAAAGATCAGCAACAGGGACCTTTGGCAACGAACCAACCAGGAACCGATTGTGAAACAAATAGGCAGGAAGAAATGGAGATGGATTGGCCATACTCTTAGGAAACCATCAAGTGACATCACTAGACAAGCCATTGCTCGAGTGGAACCCGAAAGGGAAGCGGCGAGTTGGTCGTCAGTGCAAGGATGACTTGGAGGAGGTCATGTGAAGGGGAGATGAAAGCGTATGGGCAGACTTGGAGCCAGGTGAAGACTCTAGCAGAGAACAGAACGCAATGGAGACGCACGGCTGAAGCCCTATGTTCCTGTAGGAATTAAAGGATACAATAATAATAATGTTCATTTTATGGACTGACGCAACAATTACAGTTTACTCTTTTAGACATTATTGTTGTTATTACCTTTCACCTTGTTATCACTGTCACTATAAAAATGATTATCACCATCATTTTATACCACTTTGTAGCTGTGCAGGATTTTCTACTCTTCCTGAAATAGCGTTTAGGCACGTGGGGTCACAGTACTCAATCATATATATATTTTGTTTATCGATGGGCCATTACTATCATCATCAGGAAATGGAACGAAGTTCGGGTTGTCTCGCTCAACTTTGATGGAGACCTTCGTGAAAGATTTACAAATTAACAATAATAAGAATCTGTTCCAATTGCTTGTACTATATAATTCAACAATTTGAACTTTTTAAAAAAGTGATAATGTATGCTAATTCACAATTGTAATTCGTAACATAATTGATCGTGCCTGTAAAAATGGCATGCATTTCATGTAAACTTACCAGTTTATACGAAATATAAATTATTATGATTATTACTTGTTTGTCTGTGTTAAAGCTACAAGGTATGAATCTGTGCCTATCAAAAAACAACTTATTTCAAGTCAAATTTTTTCTAGCATTCACTAATGACTATGTACGTGGACATCCGTGTTTAAACACGCAAATATGCTTTGATCATAGTTTCCGCGATATTGACAAAAAGCTTTTTTCTTACAAAGGGGAAGAAACCTCATTTAATCATCATAAGCCTCGATCATTGTTACTGAACTATTTGCATATGGGTTAAACTTTATACAACATAAATACCTTTTTGCGTACTATGTTTTCTTCTTCTTATTATTATTATCACAATAATTTTTTATTACTATCATTTGTACAACTAATATTAACAGCTTCCAGGAGGTTCTTTGAACCACTAAGTGGGTGGCCGTGTGGAGCATTAAACAGTAAGATTGCACCATTTTTTGCTAAATATCACAAGTGGAAGCATTGTGCATAACGTTTGTTTAAAATGAATCGCTATAAAAGATACATAACTTTGGGGTACAGCTGAAATATAGTGTGCTATTTGTCGCTTCGTCTTCTCACCGGTGCGTATTGTCTACTTGTTTCACTATTAGCCTTGTTGTATCCTTTGAAATTAGCAGGAATCTCTCATCCCTATCAAAAGACTATTCTACAACCGGTAAACAACTTCCGCAAGTGGACATGACTCTAGCAGTGAGCATTTCTGTGGATTATATTAGTAGTTTGTAGCGGCGAACTTTAACTATATCATCAAGTGACCATTAATCTTTGTAACTCGTTATCTATATTTCTGTAATACACTGACTCCATATCCCTACATCAGCTCGGATTTTATTCTTATATTTCGTATTGTTATCACATTTATCGTTAAGTCCCTAGCATTGCTGATAAGTTAAGGATATTATTCACTTCTTGGTATACCGAAGTAAAAATATGGCAAACCGAGAGGATGAAAGGTGGGAACCGTTGCTGAAGACAACGTCTGAGAGTAGACCACGACTACCAAAAATGTTAACGATTTGCGAGGTACTCTCTGTCGGTCGATGACAGCGATTCCCAAGTAATCCTTTAGTAAACTTTTCATGGAAACACAATCGTGGATGTACTAAGCGCAACTAGGATTTAGATGACTGCAATTGACTTTATTTAGTTTCTTGCTCACGTTCTGCATAAATACAGTCTTCGAATAACTAGTCCATCAGCACTGTGGCATGCGC